GCACCGGAACCGGCACCGGAACCGGCACCGGAACCGGCACCGGAACAGGCACCGGAACCGGAACCGGCAGCTCGGGAACGGGGAGCTCGGGAACGGGGAGCTCGGGAACGGGGAGCTCCGGAACCGGGAGCTCCGGAACCGGGAGCTCTGGAACTGGCACTGCGGGGACCGGAACAGGCTCGGGCACCACTGGCAGCTCGGGCACTGGCAGCTCCGGAACGGGCAGTGGCAGTTCAGGAAGTGGGACTTCAAGCTCAGGCACGGGCACAAGCTCTGGTTCTGGAGGTGCAGGAACCGGAACTGGCACCAGTACAGGCACTGGCAGCGGTGGCACAACATCCGGTACCGGAGGCACAGGGCCACCCCGCTGAGCCTGTGAAGACGTGTGATTTACCGGTGATTGTTTCATCGAGTCGACGCCACAAAGCGCGATGTGCCATGTCCTGTTTTAATCGCAACGCAGCTGTGATTCGTTTCCAAGTGCTTGAGACCACTCTTACTATTGCACCCACCAGCTTGGCTGACGGAGCAGGCATATGCTGCTTCGGTACGTTCGCTTCTTGAATTCGGATGATGTGTCTCACCGCCGATGACTAGGTTCCTGCGAGGATCTTCCGATGTCGGGACCTTATCAAGAACCACTGCCTCTTGTTAGGGCCTTATGCGATTTGCAACAATGACCGAAGAGTAGGGCGAGACCTAACAATGAATACTATGTTGGGCTTTTGGGCTTTGCAAGAATAAGCCACGAACATCTTGTCGCCTGAGATGGTTTCGAAGCTCTGCAAAATATTGCCCTGCTTCACATGCAAGACATGTCGCCGGCACAACTACGCTGTTTGCACAACGCTAGCTTTGACAGCTTTGTCACTTGCTCGATGCGTGTGTCACGAATGAAAACCGAAGGCCAAGTCCAAGTTACACCCTGGAGCAGACAATGCTGATCATCCTGTATAGATAGTAGCCGAGTCTTTTTCGTGGCGTGCCAGTATCTGCATGCAGGCGACAAGTGCAGTGACATGCTGATGCCATCTCCGTTTCGAAAAAGATCCCTGCGCCGAAGCCCTAAACGAACCCTGAAAACCCTAAACCGGCCTGCTCCAACTTCGTATCATATATATATATATATATGTATATATATGTATAGAGACAGACATATTAACATTCGTGCCCTTCTGTGGAACAGTTTTTGGTTCTTGTAAACTCCAACCCCTAAACAGCACAAACAACAGGGTGTTGGGTTTAGGGAAGGCATATCTCGAACCCGCACAACCCGAAGCGAAAGTAACTCGCGCGAAGCTCGAAGCTCAGCATTCGTAGCGTTGAAAGACCTTAAAGAATCTGGGGTCAGGGGCCATAGGCTGTCCTGGCTCTGATAATCATAAAAGGGTTCTGCGGTTGATTATAATTTAATGATCTTAAATTGTCGAGCCCTCAGCGCCTACACTACTTTGCACGCCAGTCCACAGGTCTAGGAATGGGGTTCACCCTATACCCGCTCTTTAAATGTATATGAAGTTATACACATACATACATACATACATACATACATCCATTAATACATACATACATACATACATACATACAGTACACATATTACACGCACACACAGACGCACACGAATCTCTCTCTCTCTCTCTATCTCTCTCTCTCTGTATATGTATATATATATACACATACATACCTATATATATATATATACATATATATATATATATATGTATACATACGTACAGACATACATACCTACACACATGTCTACAACTGCAGCCAAGTTCGTAGCTTAGGATCTCATGCTTGTGGATTCGGGGCTTAGGAGATATCTAGACACTTCGGCGATCGAAGCTTCGTGGGTTTAGGGTTTAGGGCTTGGCGTTTAGGGTTTAGGGTTTAAGGTTAGGGTTTAGGGTTTAGGGTTCGGGCTTAGGGTTTAGGGCATGGGTTATAGGATCCTTAAGGGAGGGTGGTTCAAGGGGGGAGGGTATAAGGAATCCTTAGGGGACTGTAAGGGAACCTTAGGGAGTACTAGGGAGAATTAGGGATCACTAGGCTATCTACCCCCCTTGGACCCCCCTCCCTTAAGGATACTACAAATGGGGGTGGCAGTGTCACGGATATGCTATATGTCCTGCAGCGACGAACGCCTGAGTCGTAGGCTAGCCCTAGCCACTCCAGACCATAGGCCCTTCTGAGCAGCGAGAGGCAACCCGAAAAGGCACCCCCTACTTTCCTACGTCCACTGAGCACGGCCCTATACTCCATGAACCCTAAACCCGAAGCCCAAACAGAAGCCTAGCTGGGCTTATGAAACCCTTAGAAGCCCAGACTCCGAACTCCGAACCCTAAAACCACCGACAGATCTAGCCTAAAACCCCCCCCCCTATACAACCCTAGCACTGTTGATTCCCAAGCCCTAAACCCTACTGTAAATCCTAACTTCTGAGACCCTGTACCCTTGATTTCCTTCGTTTTTTGAACCCATGGCCCTGCTGAAGTCCCCACCCGCGGGGACGCGGAGTCCCGCGCTCACGCCCACGCTCAAGGCTGGGGCACAGGGGGACTTTACCGTTCTATCCAAGAGGGTCCACGTACATATATGTATATGTATATGTATATGTATATATATATATATAATCATATATATATATATATATATATATAAATACATATGCATTTGCATATATATATACACACACACAATACCTTTATGGAATTAGGTCCCCAGGTGAAGTTCGTTGCAGTTCTGTAAAGCTGTATGAGGTTTCTTTATGTGGGGTTCTGAATACGAGGTTTTTTAGGTTCTGTACGAGTTCCTCTGTCAGGTTCTATAAGGCTTCTATTGCTCTTCTTGAGGTGAGTCTGCATATGTGGTGCTTTATGGGAGCTACCAGTACCCGAGAAACCGGTGAAATCGAAGTCATTCGAGTCGACCGCTTACACACAGATATAGAACTCCAAAAGCCTGCTGCAGGAGGATATCCAGCAGATGGCAGATGCACTGGGCTTCGGGGCCGCACAAGAACTTGCGAACAGTAACCGTAGACCATACCCCAAGGGTCCAAGTACACAGTAATCATATACTCTCCAAAATCCTAACCTACATAACTACTATCCTAAAACCGAATACCTACTTATTGGATCCTTTTGGACCCTTGGGGATACATGCCTCTAGTGCGGATACGGGTCCGGTGTGGTGCACATGCTCCACGAGCATTGGAGTTTAGGGTTGAGGGTTTCGGTGTTTAGGATTCTGGGTTTTGGGTTCAGGGTTTAGGGTTGAGAGTTTAGTTAGGGTCGAGGGTTTAGTAGAGGGTTGAGGGTTGAGGGTTTATGTTGAGGGGTTCAGGGTCCTCGACTGTATGTCTTGAAGACCTCTGACCCCGAAACGTATGTAATAGCCGGCAAGTCATTTTTGAATAAGACAGCTATTTAGGGTTCAGGGTTTAAGGTTTAGGGTTTCGGGTTGTGTGACCGTGAGTGGTGACGATGGTCAAGTGCACCATGGAAGTAGTATTAGTATCGTCCGTGTCCTAATACAGTACCAGCCAGAGTTCCAATTTCAGAAGCAGTGGCACTGGCACCACCAGCCCGCAGATTCAGGTTAGGAGATTAAGCGACACAAAACCCTATACCACTTGACCCTAAACCACCTGAGCCCTAAACCCTAAACCCCAAACCCCAACCTCAAGCCCCAAGCCCTAACCCTAAACCCTAAGATGATGCCCAGGTAACCTGCCCTGCGGCGTCAGCTTAGACAGTATCGACTATGGCAGGCCTGTTGGATTGCATATGAAGTTGTACTTCAGGGTTTGGGGTTTAGGGTTTCGGGGGCTTTCGGGTTTAGGTTTAGGGTTATGTCGAAGCCACCCAGGGGGAAGCCTGCTACAGAAGCTACTTGTAGCCAGCACAGAGGAATTGTCGCTCATGCTAGGCACTGAAAATATCTGGTGCAGAGACTTTGCATGGACCTCCCCAAACTACCTTCTAGTCATACCCAAATACCCTTGTAATTATTCAGGACCGTAAGAATTTGATTCTTAAAAGGTACTGGGGCGGTCCTGGTGCGCTGTAAGGTTTGTGATCTCGCTGAAGCCCTAGGGCAAGGTGTCACTGAAGAGGTCTGGGACATGAACATATCTCCGGGCCAGCGACATCGCTGAGCCTTGACTATGCTCCTTCAGCTTCAACCCAATGCCCTGGACACAAAACCCTAGAATTTCTGCCCTAAGTGCCGCACCTCCGAGAGTTTAACTCCTTGTCCTCAAAATTTACATGCCTGAGTTCTGCAACCTTGACACCGAAGACCCGAACACGGACGCATGACCTCATAAGACGCTGACAACAGCATCATAGAACCTGTGAAAAGTCCTATGAAAACCCGCAGAACCAGCAAACTAAATTCTCACAAATCACAAATGCCTTCAGCCCGACCTCAAAAAACCCTAAAGGCTGACCCCTGAAACCTAAACCCTAAACCAAAACCCTAAATCGCTTGAAAAAGTTTTAAAATCAATCCCTAAACCAACTCCCGGAGACCGAACTTCGAAGTGCGGCGCAGAGCCACTGAGCCACAGCCGTTTCGCAGCTTGGATCCTTTGGGGGTTTTATTGGCTAAGGGTACCTTTAGGGTACCTTTAAGGGTTCTTTTAAGGGTGGGGTTTCAGGTTTAGGGTTGAGGGATGGTTTTGGACTTGAGGGTTGTGGGGTTTAGGGTTAGGGATTGTTTTGAAAGCAGCTTGTGAAAGTTGGCTAGGTTGTCAGGAGATATAGGAAGACTATGTGTGCAAGCGGCTTCCGAAGGCTGGCGCTCTTTGAGCTGTCGAGAAATGGAGTTGTATTTTCGGATGCCCGTCTTTGAGAAAAATCATCTTGCTGAAAGGTAATCGTAGGGTCATTCGGTTTCGGGGTCATGCGGTTTTGGCATCGAGAGGTCGAGAGGACTTGAGGCATTTAGGGTTCAGTGTCCCAGGCTTGCTTTCCATATTGCCTTCTGACATGTTTGATAATTAGCCCTGAACCCCACATGCATACCTGCCTACCTACATAGATGCATGCATACGTACACATAGCATGACGCAGTCCAACACCCTCTTAAAATTAGCTAGTGAGGCCCTGAATTGGTGTAGACGCTTGCTTCAGGGCCCTTTGAACGGGAAACGACCAGTACGATTCGGTCCGGAAAGATGCGGGTGTTAAGGTAAACCTCTCTTAACCCTAATCCCAAACCTTACACCTGAATCCCCAACCTTCAACCTCAAGCCCTAAACCCTAAATTTTAAACGCCCTAAGCCCTAATCCCCCTTATGCCCGGCTGAACCCTGCACCCCCTTCTGCCTCGCATCGTGTTTTGCCCCCTCCCAAACCCTAAACCCGAGCCTTCAACTAAACCCCAAGCCCCTAACCCGAACCCTATAAACCCTAAACCCCCCTATCTCCCGCTATCCTCCCCCCCCAAATCAATAAATCCTAAGGCGCTAGATCCCTCAACCTTAAACCTTTTCGGCTGAAACAGGAGCCACAGCAAACAAGCAAATAAGCTCCCCCTATCTCCCCCTTTAGATCCCTAAACTCTAAACCCTCAGATCCCTCAGCCCTAAACACCCAAACCCTAAACCCCCCATATCCCCTTGCCTCCCCCTGGACCCTAAACCCTAAACCCCTAAACCCCAATACCTTAAAACCCCAAAAATCTAAACCCTGAAACCCGTTTAAACCCTTAACCCCTAAAGCCCTAAAGCCCTAAACCCTAAAGCCCTAAACCCCTAAACCCCTAAAGCCCTAAAGCCCTGAAATCTGGGCCGTGCCATGTCTCAGGCGTGCGCCTTCGCGAGTCTCTCTTCGGCTCCTCCGAGGTCCGGAAACTTTGATCCAAGGGGCATACCTGTAGCCCAAGCTGACGGCACATTCAGAGTAGCTTCACGTTTGATGGGCTTGTGCTCAGAACTTGGTGATATCATTGCTATGCCCGTTACGTCTTGCGACTTCTGCTTGCATGATATCAACTGCGAACACCATCGCCGGTTCCATTCACCCCATTGGTTTTCTAACTTTGCCCGGTCGCACACCTATCTCTGATTCCTCAGCACAAGACCGTTAACTCAAAACCCAATGGCCCTACGCCTAATCAGTAAAGCTTTGTCCCAAGGCTAGGCTAGTCACCCGGAGACGCCCAAACTTGTTCGTAGACTCCTGAATTACACAACCCCCTTTGTTTAGGGTCTTGCTATAAGACTCCCTGACACATCCTGATTTGGCTGATCTGGAGTGTCTCCGAAGCACATCATACTTTTGCTGTGCACTTACATTGTATATAGCGATCCGATTCAAGATGCTATCATGGGATCAAGCAGGGCACTTACGTTGAACAGCCCCGAAACCAATGATAGACCGACCCTCCCGCTTGGCACGCAACAGCGCGCGTTGTTCCTAAGACCGGCACTTCCAGCAAATGAGATTCACGATGGTTTAGGGCGTTTAGGGCGTCGAAAGCTTTGAAGTTCTACGTGTTTGGAGTTTCGCGGAACAACTCAATACCCTAAGGCTCCAAAGTAGTTCCTTTTTGGGGTTCATATATAGAATCCTATAAGGTAATCCCCAAAAAGAACAATTATGGAGCCTCTGGGTAGTAGGGCAAGTTTATTGCGATAAGGGCCCCCAGAATTGGACCGACAGCTCTGCAGGCTTTTTTCACATTAGTGGGCTGGCGATTCTTGCGCAGAAGCTGCTTGACGGTTGCTTTGATCTCGGGATGTCGGGGGTCTGGAGTACAGGGTCTAATGCCTATGGCATCCGGGGGCTTAGGGGATGAGAGTTCCGGGTCTAACTAACTCTCCCATACTCTCTAGGCCTCTAAGCCAAACTTCTAGCCTTTCTCCGCCCAGACCCCATAAACTCCCCTAAACCCCTAAACCCTAAACCCTAAATCCCTAAACCCTAAACCCTAAACCCTAAATCCCTAAACCCCTAAACCCCTAAACCCTAAACCCCCAGCCCAGACTGCCCAGACCCCTAAACTCTAAAAGCCTAAAACCCAAGCCCCACACCCAAACCTGGTTATCTCTACTTGAGTGGGGTTATAAGTAGGGTAACTACATTTAGAGACAATATTAGGGGACTATAACTCCACTTATAACCACCCATGAGCCTAACCTGGTTCTCCCTAGACATTCAGAGCACATCCCTGAAGGCCTCGTCCTGGAAATTTGCTTAATTGAGCCTTATCCCCAAACGGTTAGGGCTCTGGGGCTCCTCCTCTTGTGTAGGTACGCCTTGACCAAATCCAAAAGCTTCCAAGATAGTGTTGCCTTTAGAGTCCCTACATACATAATTGAATCGTAATTTTCCCAAAGCCATTTTCTAGTTATTCAGGCCCCTTCGCCCGCAACTTTTGTCGCGCCTCCCCATCCCACCCAAGGCATGATGGGAATCTGGCAAGCTCTGGCGACCTATACTGGGATCTCCGTCTCTACCTCAGAGCATTCGAAGGGTTCCCTGTAGCGTTACATAAGGGTTTGGGCCCCTCAATTGCATTACACGGTTTTGCTAGGGTTAGTTTAAGAGTTACTTGCTCAACGATTTCGTGGTTCCGGTTCAGCATGTCGGGTCCACAACTAAACCTCGGAGCGATTTCGGGTTTTGGAAGCGCTATGGTTTTGGGCATTTTAAATCTGTTTCTGTCTGGTTTACTTGAGATCCTGCATATAGACGGCCTCGACCGAGTGCTTCGTCGCCTTCTCGTTTTTGGCTGCTATTTTGTCTTGTGAGGTCAGTTTGTTTTTTGCGTTTTGCATCTCGGTGTCTCTACCTTAAACCTTTGGTACTGCCCCCCATACAGTAAGAGTCTACAATAGGGCTACTCTGAAGGTCCTAATATAATTATATTATGAATATCATTCAACTATTACTGAGTGGGGGCCGTACCCAACTTAAACCCTAAAGATCTGACTGCGATGGTGGCAGCAGTGGTTGAGCAAGGACAGCAAGAGGGAGTCCAGGCGTGGGAATCGTTCCCACGCCGCAAATCCTGGTGAAGTATGTTCTTGTTGATTAGGGTTTAGGGTTTAGGGCCTTGTTGCTGGTGTTGTGGCTGTTTATGTTATATATTTTTTGTTTTGACTGGGGTTGTTTGTTTCTCCTCAGGGCTTTGCTGAGTATTTCTGAGTCTCCTAAATGCGGTGAATAATCTAGAAGCCAGAAGGATTAGCAATACTGTCTGATACTTAAAGTATAGCATGCCCAACACCCTATTCTGATTCTTTGGGCCCGTCTCTAAGGAACCTACTCAAGCTTAAGGCCCCTGCAACATGTGGGGTGTTCCCAGAGACTCCAATGTCCCTTAATTAAGGAATATACCTTAAATTATAGTAGGATCCCTAATATGATTTTCGGTATATTCCTTAATTAAGGGATATTGGAGTCTCTGGGTTGTTTCTTGTTGCTCAGTGTCCTCAGACTGAGAAGCCTCCCGGGGAGGCTTTGAGGCTTTGAGAGTGTTAGGCTGTCTGGGTGTCTTGACGTTTAAGACCTCGGGGCCCCTGCGACCAGGGTTTGAGGTTTAGGGTTTCGCGGTTTAGGGTTTAGGGTTTAGGGTTTAGGGTTTTAAGTTTTGAAGATCGGAGTTGCTGCTTTTCGGGCAAGGGGCTGAGGGCCACCAGTGCCCAGGTTGTCTTCATGGCCGTGATGACCTGTCCCTCGGTGACAGGGAGCGCCCTATTTTCCAGGTCCTATAGTACTATACTATATACTACACTACTATAACAGAAGTTCTTGTAATACTGTTGCCATACCATAATATGATGTTACACAGCGCCACAATAGTAACCCTAAAACCAAAACCCTAAACCCTGAACCCTAAACCGTGGTACAAAAGGTTGATACAGCAGACTATGAGATGATCTCAATACTCCAAAGGGTCCAATGTACCGATGTAGAATGTAGGGTTTCCATATTAGGAATTACTATTATGCCTTAGGGAAGTATCCCCTATAACAGTACAGAGGACCCTTTGGGTACTCAAGCTCACGTTCCCCGAGCTCCAAAACCCAATCGAGGATCCGAAAGCCGTCGCATCCCTACGCTGAAAGCCAGGAGTCTAAAATATTTATATGGGAGTTTCCGAAAATTAGGGGTACCATGGGGTACCTTTTTATTGGGGGTCCTTATTATAAGGATACTACTATTTTGGGTACTATATTAGGGTCCCTTGTTTTCGGAAACTCCCATATGGTAGGATTAGGATCCTGTCAGTAAAGGAGTCTGTCTGGGGGTATGAGAGGGTAGAAAAGTGGTTCCTTCACACTCAGGTAAATCGGGAAGGATCTAGAGTCTATACGGGTACTTTAGGGTTTAGGGTTTACTGTACTCACCCCCAACCCTGAGAATCAAAGGCCCTGCGCCTCAGGGTCTTTATGCTTCGCGGCCCCCTGTGGTCCAGAACATCTCTTGCTCCTAATATAAGGGCACCTATACTATTCTGGGGTTCCTCACTATAACTATAGGTAGTTTTTTTGGCCCCAAACCCTATTCTAAGAATTAAGGCCATCATATTAGCGACCCCATAATCTTGGAAGACTAGACACCCTTCAGAAAATCACCCTGAGAACTCCCCTCACGACGTCATTCAACCGTTTTCGGTCTTCAATAGGTGCTATGCGCAGACAAATGCGAACATCCCGTGGAAAGTTTTGCACCCTGCCAACTCCTGTGCCCCTTAGCCTCCAAAACCCCTGAACCCTAAACCGGAAGACCGCTAGTGCGGATTCTGCCGACCTTAACTGCTAGGTGGAAAAAGGTGCTCCCAAAAAAAGCCGGAAGAGCTCTCCGGAACATTGCAACCCTAAATCTCAAGAACCAGATCCAGAAAATCGGATTTCAAGATTTAACCCCTACGAACCATAAACTCTAAAGTACCCCTATAGTCCTATAGATCCTTTGAAAGGAACCGTATCTCACACGATAGACCCGAGGCTTGTCCGACGAAACGCGCTGTGAAGTCGACAAGGCTCTTGCCGTTCTCGCCCGTGTGGTCCGGAGCAGGTAATCTAGGATGCCCAGTAGTACCCTTATTCCTTTTTTGTAGTCCTAGGTTCCTTATAAAGTTACCCAATACCAAAAAGAGAGGCCTTTTTATTCTTAGGTTACTGGGTATCCTGGTATTTGGTTGGTACAAGGTTTAGGGTTTAAGGTTTAGGGGTAGGGTTTAGGGCATAATTAAGGGTTTCTTTTTCGGGTTTGGGGTTTGGGATGTAGGGTGTAGGGTTTTGTAGTAGTAGGGGTACCTATTCCTTTTACGGGTTACTATAAGGATAGTATAAGGGTTTCTTTTCAGGGCTCTATAAGGGTTTATTTTCTGAATTGTAGTAGTTCTACTATGGGTTTTGGGGTCTGGGGTTTAGGATAGGTGGACACTGCTGTGGGAGTTTCAGGGTAGGGTTCTATAATATAGACTTAGGGTAGGGTTTAGGGTTTGGGAGTTTCCGAAAATTGCGAGTACCGTATATTGGGGCTCCTTATAATAAGGATTCTACTATTTAGGGTACTAAATCAGGGTTCCCTATTTTCTGAAACTCCCATCTGCTATTAGGGGTGTAGGGTTGACAGTTCAAAGCCGTCGGGGTTTTAGGGTTGACAGGTAAGGCTTAGTTAGGGCTTGGAAAGATGATGGGCATACGAGACCGCCGGACCAAGTTGTTTGGCTCCATCATACATCTGACACGCAGGTCACATCTCCTCGCAAAGCCCGTCAACGGACGGCAGGGGCTGGATGTCAACAATCACTGTGCCCTGCCGGGTCCTTCTGCTTTTTGTTCACTGTTCTGTAGATCTGTCACAACGAGAACCATGAATTTCGAAAGGGACATAAGAATAGCCTTTTGGGGTATAGTATCGTGCTGAAATTTCTAAAGTAGTGAAACCTGCGGAATAGTTTTGGCAGGTATTTAGAAGTATATACAAAAAGAACACAACCCCAAAGGGGTGTCCTACCACGAAATGGGTTCAGATAGGCCTTGTTTTAGGGGTCCAGTGTTTTAGATCCTTCCGGCAACCTGGGAGCCCCACGTCCCTTTATGAATCATGCGTAGGGTTTATTTGATGGGATTGTCAGAGAATACATGAAGCGAAATATACACTGGACTCAACTATAGTAACCTAACCAGGAGGATCCTGTAAGGACCTTCCATAAGTGACCCCCCCTTTCAATACTTGTATCATAGGGGCCCTTACGGAGCTAGGGGGAGGGGGGTAGGGAGCTTTAATGCCCATCATGAGGACCTTAATAAGGCCTATTTATCCCCCCTCCCCCTGTTTGCGTAAACCTCTAAAGGGGTAGCTCTAACAGGTACCTACAGCAATGGCTGCATGCTCATACATATACATTCCGCTGCCCATTGGCTCACAGTGGTTTTACCATATTGAGACAAGACAAGCTCTCCTTGCGTAGCAAGACAAAACAACTACTGTCCGTGTGCAGGGCGCTGCCCTTTGATCCTTAGGGAATAAACTGGTCATACACCTCCTAACAAGGAGCATTTCCTTGTGGGTGTATCGGCTCAGTTTTCTGGTAGCGGAGCCCGGAAAGGGCCGCCCGCCTCCCAAAGTCCGCTACAGCGGTCGGCCTCGCCGAACGCTTAACCAAGCGGATAAGAGGCAGCACAATGTCGAGCTCGCATAGCGAAGCCGACGACAGTTCCCAATCCTCCGGGGGATATGAGAACGAAGAGACCTCCCAAGGTCCAGCCACTTATGTCGCACAGTCATATGCAACATCTGACCGCATGCTTGCATCATTAGGCATAACGCCCAAGATCGCGCCTGCCTATGATGGCACCACCTCGTGGTTTGAGTATGAACAGTTGATTGACGACTGGTGCGACATAACAACGCTGGATGACACCAAAAGAGGTCCGTCTCTCAAGACGAGGCTCTCCGGATTGGCCGCAGTACAAAAGGAATCACTGAACCGAGAAAGGCTTGCAGCCCCAGATGGAGTAGATTACTTCAAGAAGAAGATGCGTCCATTTTTCGTGAAAGGAGAACAGTACGTTTTCCTGTGGCGTTTCCTCGGCCTATTCAAGGCATGGAAGGGCAACCAAGACTTTGTGACTTGGATTGCCAAGTTTGAGATCGTGCTACAGCGCGTGAAAAACTCATGGATGGATCTCTTACCAGAGATAGCTCTGGAGGATGCCCATCCAGATTTCATGCAAGCTGTGCAGGCAGACCAAACCTTCTTGCGCATGCAGGATGCAGCCGAGAGAGACACATATGCCGCACGCTATTTCGAAACATGGAACAAGGAACGCCTTGACAATCATCGAAGAGCGTTTCCTCTGAACGATAATCTCCTAGCTCTCCTCTTCCTAGTGCAGTCCGACCTAAATGAGATGCAACGTGAGAGGTTGGTAACAGCATTGACCAACCAAGGTCACCGAATTGAGACCTACACGTACCCTGTGGTACGGCAGACCATGTTCGATCAGTTCTCAACGACCAGAACTGGTCTGCAGGATCCCAACATTCGGCACTCTTCTCACAAGAAGGACCGCCATGGAAGGAGAGACCAACGCCGTAAACGCGGAGGTCGAAACTTCCTCATCCTCGATCAGGGTGAATACGATGGAGTCGATGGATTCTGGCTCCAAGACGAAGACACCCTTGAGGAAGGCTTTCTTGCCGCCGAGGATGAAGAAGCTGTCTTCTGGACAGTTGATGACCATGAGGCCTTCGTTGCAAGGAGATTCAAAAAGGGAAGAAGACCAAGAATGCGTCCCGGATCACCGGGAAGAGCAAAGGGTGGCAAGCGAAAAGGACGTGGCCGTTTTAGGTCATACCGCGGAAAAGGGAGAGCCAACCAGGCAGAACATGATCCAACTGATTCCAGCTATTTCGGTAAAGGTAAAGGAAAGGAAAAAGGAAAAGGTGGAAAAGGCAAAGGAAAAGGAAAGGACAAAGGAGATAAAGGAAGCTCCTTCAAAGGCGCAAAGGCAAAAGGCAAAGGTAAGGATACAGCTAAGTCTGCCTCCTTACAAGGAGACCAAACTGGATCTCCACAGGCCTATGAGAGTTCCACCGCACCGAGCTGGGATTCATGGTATGAGGACAGTTATTATACTGACTCCAGTTGGAATTATGCCGCTTATGACGATCAAACGTCTTATACATACTATGCATCACAAGCCTCACGAAGAAAAACACGGAGAAAGAAGAGAAGAAATCAAGCAGGATCATCAGGTAGAGGCACAGATCCGAGCGCGCACCAAGAACCCGTGTTCAACTCATCAGTGAGTTACGTGCCCCAGGTCTTTGAACCATCCGAGGGGCAAGGTGTTGAAACTGCAACAGCGGTGTTTCCGTTGCAGCACACCGTCCTATCTGCTCTCACAGAGCGGATCAATCTTGATAAGAACCCTACCTTTGTCATACTTGACTCAGGTTGTACTAGGGCTATGGGTTCCCGCTATGCGGTGAACAGGCTTATCAAGGCCGTGAAGCAACGTGCCCCAGGCATGATTGATTTCACTTTCTCACCTTCGAACACGAAGTTCTCTTTCGCAGATAGTGAAACAGCTCTTATCAAGGAGCGTGTAACTCTATGGTTCAACACAACTCCAAGAAGAGATACAACCATCGAGGTTCTGGATCAGGGGAGAGTTCCCATTTTGTTCTCCATCGAACAGATGAGGAATCTAAGAATGACCCTCGAGTGTAGTCCCACAGCTGACCTAGCAACGTGTGAAGCTTTCGGTTTGTACAAAACCCCCCTTCCGATTAGTACCAATAACCATTTGGTATTGGACCTTCTAGGCTTCACTTCCACCAGGAAGTATCTCCCTAAGTCAGGTACGTCGTTCAGTGCGACGGAGACTGCTTTAGGAGCTAAGAAGCCAAAGGAAGAAAGAAGATCTTATACTAAGATCCCGGAAGGTCGCTGTCCAGCCTGCGCAGGACAGAAAAAGCCTCATACGTTCCTCAAAGGTTGCGACAAGGCACCTGAAGGAGCAGCTGATCCACCACCGAAGGGCATTCCAGGTAAGAAGAAGCCTCTTCCATCTGATCCGGCAGAATCATCTGCCAAGAAACCTGATCCACCAGAACCATCTGGTGATGCTCCTGAGCCTTCCGAACCATCGGAACCATCATCAGGCTCTAGAGACAAACCTGCAGAATCATCTGCACCGCACGAACCTCCAGAAGAAGAAAGACTTGAGGTTCCACCTGCGAAGACAAAGACTCCAAAGGGTCTTAAAAACCTTCTGAAGAAAACCCGCAAATATGCGGTCAAACCTCCTGTTGAGGAGAAGTCTATGGTCCCAGGAGCTGATGACGGGACGGAGGTAAGACCACTTGAGTCAAGAGAATACCCGGCTCCTGGTACAGACTCACCTACAGGTGAAGAGATTGTCGCAGAACCATCGCCATCTCTTCCCATTGCTCTTCGCAGGATTCATGAGAAGCTTAAGGACCCTGTAGAACTCTATAAGCTTCACCTTAAGCACCGTCATATGAGTACGGATCAGTTCAAGCGACGCACGAAAGCCTTACAGATCCCAAAGGAGATATATGAGCTATATGACCAACTGGTCAAAAAGTGTTCAGCCTGTCAGGAACACGTGAGAGCTCCTTCAAGAGCGAAGATTTCCGGTTTAAGATCAGAGACTTTCGGTGATCTCACCTTCGTAGATCACGGTGAGCTTCCAATTCCCGGCAAAAATAGTCGCTTGATATTTCTTATTCTCTATGACGGAGCAACAAACCTGTTGACTTCCGAAGTAGTCCAGGATAAGGAAGAGCATACTACAATGTCGATTATGAATGACTATTTTGAGAAATTTCAGATCAACCCAAAGGTTGTAGTTGGAGATCAAGCATTCATGACTCCAAAAATGGAGGCTTATTACAATCGGCAGAATATCAAGCCTGTAGCAACAGGACCTGGAACACCATGGCCCAACAGGGCCGAAGCTGCTGTAAGATTGCTGAAGCATCAGATTAAGATCATAC